GCCGCGCTCGCCACCAGCACCAGCAGCGTGGGCGCCGGGTGGCCGCACGGCGGCGGCGGCGGCAGGAGACCGGTGCCGTTGGCGAGGCTCGCGCCGATGGCAACCCTCGCGCCCATTGCAACGTTCGCACCGACTGCAATGCTTGCATAATTTGCAATGCTTGCACCGTTTGCGCCAATTGCAATGCTTGCACCGTTTGCACCCCCTGCACCCATTGCAATCCCTGCACCATTTGCAACCTTTGCGCCGTTTGCAGCCCCTGCACCGGCTGCAACGTTCGCAGTGATTGCAACCCCTGCACCATTTGCAAAGTCTGCAACCCCTGCACCGTTTGCAAAGTTTGCAAGCCCTGCACCGTTCCAAACGCCTGCCGCCTGTATGAAATCGTAGGCCCAGGCCGCGCCGCTCGCAGAGGCCTCGGCGCCGTCCTCGGGCGGCCCGGCCCAGGCCAGCCAGGCGCCCAGCGCCACCGAGAGCAGCTCCTCGCCGGTGCCGCTGCCGAGCAGCACCAGCAGCGCCAGCAGCGCCAGCACCAGCGCCGCGCAGCGCCCCAGGGCCGCCCGCCGCCGCGGGCAGCGCCGGCAGCCCATGCCCGTCCCCGCCCGCTTACCTTTGCACCGGCGCCCGTGCGAAACCCTCGCGAAACGGCGCAGAAACGGCGCAAAAGCGGCGCAAAGGGCGCGCCGGGTGCGCACGGGGCCCGTGCAATGCGGTGCAAGGGGCGAGCGAGCCCGGGACAAGGGTGCCGCGAGGCCCGCGCAGCGCCGTGCAGAGGGGCGTGCAATTCGAGTGCAACTCGCGCGCAACGCGGTGCAAACGCCCGTGCAAACGCCCGTGCAACCGTCGTGCAAGCGGCACCCGCAGCCCCGCAGGGCGCATGCGCGGGCCGGCAACGGGGAGGGGGGTAGTGGCTCAGTGCGCATGCGCTGGACGGTAAYGGGCCGGGAAGGCGCTCAGTGTACATGCGTCGCCTGGCAACAGGTGAGGAGAAGCCCAGTGCGCATGCGCTGACAGGCAAGCGGGCGAAAGGAGCGCAGTGCGCATGCGCTGCCCGGAGCAGGGCGTCAACAGCTTCAATACGCATGCGCTTGCCCTCAGGCCTCGCGAGGGGGTGTACTGCGCGTGCGCCGACCGGAGAGGGCGGGGCAGGGTGAGGAGCCAGGGGGCGGGGCCTCGCGCGGCGGCGGCGTCATGTGGCGCGGCGCGGAGGGGGCGGGGCTCGAGCCGCGCTGCGCGCGAGGAGAGGTGGGAGCCGGGGGGACCTATGGGCTCTATAGGGGGCTCTATAGGGGGCCTATGGGGCCTATAGGCGCTATAGGGGGTCTATAGGGTCCTATAGGGTCGCGGGCAGATGGGAGGGGTGGGGGGGCCTCTATAGGGGCCCCAGTGGGCCTCTATAGGTGACCAGAGGGTTTCTATATGTTCTCTGTGAGGATGCGGGGGTTCTATAGGGTTCTGAGGCCGTCGTGGGCGGATGGGAGGGGCCATGGGGGCCCTATAGGGGCTCTATAGGGATCCAGGGGGGCCCCATGGGAGTGGTGGGCTGCTGGGAGGGGCAGAGGAGATCTATAGGTTCCGTATAGGGGTCCAGGGTGCCGTATGGGGCTCTATAGCTGTCCAAATGGTCTCTGTATGGGCTTTATTGGAATCTGAGGGCCTCTATAAGGTCCTATGGGGGACCTGGGTGGCCGAGGGGGGGACCTATAGGGGTCCTATGGGGGTCCAGGGTGCTGTATGGGGCTCTATAGGTGTCCAGAGGGTCTGTGTAGGGGCCCTATGGAGGCCTGGGGAGGCTCTATGGGGCTCTATAGGGGTCTGGGGGAGGGATCTATAGGATCCTGTGGGGGCCTTGAACAGCTAGAGGGGCTCTGGGGGTTCAGGGGTGTTCAAGGGGCTCGGGAGGGCTCTATAGCGATCTATGGGTCTAGGAGACTGTGTAGGGGCCCTATTGGGGTCCTGGGGGATTGGGGATCCCCGAGGGGGCTCTTTGGGGGTCCTGGGGGGGCACCTCGGGCAATCCAGGGGGCTGGAGTTGTCTGTATAATAGGGGGCTCTATAGGGGTCTTGAAGATCTCTATGGGGCCCTATGGCAATTTGGGGAAGGGGAGGGAGTCTATAGGGGCCCCATGGGGGGGTTGGGGGTGTCCTAGGGGGCTGTGGGGGCCCTATGGGAGCTCTATAGGGGTCCTGGGAAGCTGTGGGGGCCTTAAGGGGGTTCTATAGGGACCCTATATGGGCTCTTGAGGGGTGGGAGGCTCTTGGGGGGTCCTTAGGGTGTCTAGAGGGTTATGGGAGTCCCTAGAGGCCTCTGTGGGTCCCCTATGGGGTGTGGAGGTGTCTGGGAGGCTCCATAGGTTCTCCAGAGGGTACGGAGACGTCCATGGGTGCCTGGGTGAGGGGTTTCTATAGGTCCCTATGGGTTCCKGTAGGATGCAGAGGGGGCTCTATATGGGGGGGGGATCTATAGGGTCTCCATAAGGGGTGGAGTGTCCGGGGTGGCTTGGGGAGCCCCCAKTGGAGCCCAGCTTGATGTATGGCCTCCATATGAGCCATGGAGGTCCCCAAGGGGGAGGTGACAAGAGGGCGTCCCCCCCACAGCCATGGCCGAGCCGCTCCAGAAGAAGCTGCAGGGCGAGCTGGAGAAGTACCAG